GTTGTTGGGGGAAGAGGCGAGATGAGCTTTTAGCTGTCCAGAGATCCTGTGTGTGTCAGATGCTTACAGGTGGGTTTTCCAAAAGCCTGGGACACCCATCAGTGACCCCAAAGAGCTGAGCTGTCTCAAAATATCTGCAGGAAATGAAGATGAGGTGAAACTGCAGGAATGACAACAACAGGGAGAAGATGCAGAACAAATCCCATCCCAAATCCAGAGGGAAATGCCCTGCTCCTGCAGCCAGGCCACCAGTGCAGTGCTCAGGGTGTTCACTGCCACCCGGTGTTGATCTGCTTGAAGAAAACATTCATTTTTTTGCCCAGGATTTTCTGCAGAGGGATCGGTTCCCCCCTGTAAGAGTACTGGATCGCAGAAAGCACTGCTGGATTAGGGACTGCCTACATCGGTGCTCTTCCCAAGAAGGGACAAAGATCTTGTGGTCGCTCTCCTCATGTGGGAATGACAATGCAGAACGGGGCATCAATTCTGGAAGTGGCCAAGGGCAGCTGGAAGCAAGGGCTCGTTAAAAGGCAAGTGCAAGCATCAGCACAAAAACGTGCATCTGGGCTTCCCCGTGGCCTCTCATCTTGCAGAAGCCCCGTGCTCAGGGGATTAGAGGCAAGGGGAATGAAGACGTGGGTCTGATTTCTCCTACAACCTATGCTGTATCCTGGTTAGTTCCCCTACCTCAAGAGGCAGCTCTGGCGTTGGAAGTTTTCACCATTTCGCTCATTTGCAGGTGCCTGAGCCCTCGTGCAAGGTGAGGCACCCCCCAAGGTGCCCTCGCACATGTTCTCTGGCCCTTGCCTTTTCCAGCTGTCCCTCAGCAGGCTGCAGCTGCCAGTACGGTGCTGAGTGTCGGCAGATAAGAGCAAAGAATTCCCCTCTTGCTTTATTATGTCTGTACATAGTACATAGTACAGAAATCCCTGGGTGCCACGATGGTGTTATGAGTTTTAATCCACCTGATTCCTAGAGGTCTCCAGGCTCCTGCTGGTATAACCCATGCTCTTACCTAAAAAAAAAAACAAACAAACATTTCTTCCCTTTGCTCCTGGGATGGGCAATGCTTTACAAGCTGCTTGTTGCCTTCTAACCCTCCTCCTCCTTCCTTTAATGGCACCTGCGTTTTCCCACAGACATCCTCAGCCCTTTTGGGCTCTGGTATCCCAGCCCCAAAGGAGAGCCTTGCAGCTCCACAGGAGCAGAGGTCACTTCCCCTGTCAGCTCCTACTTCACAGCCCAAATATTCTGGTCCTGGACTGCCCTGCTGCTTTCTTGCTCACTCTTCCACCAGATCCAAGTGCCAGCCTGCAATGAGCACCCCGCTTAGCCCAGCTCAATGGTCCATCCAGGCACTGCCTAGCCGAGGGCCTGGGAGCTGTGGATCAGTTGTGTCATGGCTCTGTCCCATCCTGCGCTCCCTCCGAGGGCAGAAAATGACTGAGTCGTGTCTGACAGTCACCAGAGGTCAGATCCTGTGCGTACTGAAGTGAGGGTAAAGCTCCCTCTGGCTTGTACAGGGCCTGACCCCATACTGAGATGCTCCACGCACAGCACAGCTCTGCAGACCCGCAGCCCAGACCTTGCCCTGGTGCTGCCATCTCCTCCTAATCATTCCTCTTCCTTGCAAGCAGGCGCTGGGGTCACCTCCCAGCTGCTGAAATCCATCAGTGTGCGGGAGCCCTGCCTGGAGGCACTGCTAAGAATAGAGCTTAAGGGTGAGATGGAGAGAGGAGAGAGCCTGGAAAAGATTTGGCTGCTGCCAGCACAAGTCAGCCCCCACCAGGTCTCCTGCAAGAGGCAGAGGACATGCAATGCATGCAGCGCCTTTCTCTGACAGCCTTCTGAGCCTGAAAATAAAGCAAACAATGCTCTTGCCTTGCTGTGGCTATAGGATTTGCTATTCCCCTTCTCTCCCTGGCTAGTGCTGCCGGGAGTGCAGTGTGCCACCTGTCTGTCCGTCCGTCTGTCTGCACAGCCTGCGCCGCAGGCTCCGAAAGCAAAGCGCAGACGCACGGTCCTCGAAGAAGCCATGGATCAGCAGAATGCCATAGAAACCGAAGCTGGGCTGCAGGAGGCCTTTCCCCCAGCATTATGCAATACCCAATTATGTAATTTGGAGTTGCATAAGGCGCCCGGCTTCTTCGGCGTGCCGGCCTCCCCTATGGCTGCTCCCCTGGCAGAGCAGCACGTGCCAGGCTGGCACCAGGCAGCACGGGGGCACGACACAGCCGGGGCTGCAGCCGTCACCCCGAGCCGTCCCCTGCTCCCAGGTGGGGGTTTTTATTTTTAATTGCAGCATGGGGAAAAAGGTTCATTGAAAAGGAAAAAAAAAAAAAAGGGGGGGGGGGGGTTGGTTGTTGCAAAAACCCTTGTTCACCTCTCTGAGTTGCTTTGCTGTGCAAACACAGATGGTTTGGGGTGTTAAAATTGAATGGTTTTGGAGCATCCTTCGCTCCCTCCTGCTGGAAAGTGCATTTCATAAGCGTATTTAAAATGAAAATAACCATCACTGTGATTCCTACCAGTGCCTGTCTCTCAGGCACGCATTTCCCTCTTTGCAGCAGCCCTGGCTGCAGAGAAGACAGAGCTGGAAATTATTGCAGCATTGCTACATTAACCTGCCAAGGCAGCGTGGGGCACTGCTGGGCTCTCTGGCACTCGTTTTACAGCCCATGGATGGCTTTCTCTCTCTCTGCAACAGCGATACTCTAAGAAAAACTGAATTTGGCCAAAAAAAAAAAAAAAAGGGAACTGGTGCATCCCTGCTGCCGGCATGCAATTCCCACCGGGGCACTCCAGCCCTGCCTGTGCCCCGTGTTAGGAACTGGCACCGGCTGCTGCTCCTAGTGCCGTGCCCTGCAGCCAGACCTCGTTCTTCCCCTGGCTATCCCAGGGGCTGAACCTCTCTGATTGCTTACAAGTGGGGAAACAAGCAGCTTTCCCCTTTGCAGGGATGCTGCAAGGTCTAAATGCACTGATACCTATGGCAAGGTTTGCTGTCCGTCAAGGAAGGAGCTGTTTTGCCAGAAGAGACTCTTCCCCTGCCCTTCAGGGAGGGGGGATCCTTTCCTAAGCACCTTTTGGATAGACACCAGCCCCTGCAGCCCCTAGGAAAGGCCACAGCCCCCCTCCAGCCTGCGGATCCTGCATGGGGACAGGGATGTGGCCTCCCCTCTGCATGGCTCTGTCGCCCGTGGCCACTAGATGGTAGCAAGCCCTGGCCGACAGCTCCAGGCTGCTGCAGCTCGACCAGGGCTTCCCCAGCAGCAGCACCGGGGGGTTTTGGGGTCTGGGCCTGATCATCTCCATCATCCCCTTTGGGGACCTCACAGCACGGCCAGAGCCTTGCGAGACCCTTGGTGATGGTGGCACGTCGGCTGCTGGTGCTTCGCTTCACTGTGCCCCAAAATATTAATGATTTAATGCTCGTTTAACAAGAGCGCTTTATGGACGACCACAGGCATGCAGGTGTGGTGTGGCCATATGAAAAGGCCACCTGATCGCCCACGTGAAGGTGACGACCGACAGGTCAGCCCTCGGCCCTCGGCACTTGGTGTTTGCCCAGATGGTGGTGCCAGCCATAGGCCTTGCCCACGGGGATGACCAGAGGGCCGAGGCACGCGTCCGCATGGCCGTGGTGTGCTGTAGGGCTTGCAGTCATTCTGCAGGCCAAATTTATTTATGCTCCATGGGGAAGAGCTTACGATTTCATTTCATTGCCGTTTCACTTGTAGAAAAAACACTATGGCTGCCCTTTTGAAGGCCTTTGTCCATTTAATGTCTGTACAGAGACTGTTGGCTTCACGGCCATGGGGCAACCAAACTCGAATGAGGTTATTGTGGTGACCAAGCAGTTTCAGCATGAGGAATGCAACGGAGCTTGATGCATAAGCAGCCGTCTCTCGTGTACCAGGAGCACACATTTCTCTCGTGTCTGAAGTGCATGTAAGCCTGTAAGGTCAGCATTCAGGATCCTACCCAAGGCTGAGCGTGGGGCGGCGCAAATGCTTGTCTGGTGTGATAAGGACTCGAGGAGCGAGGCTGCGGGGATGTGATCTCTGCTGGAGGGCTCCCAAGCGCTCCTCCATCACTTTAGCCTAGTTTGGGCAACTGATAGTGCCCCGGTGATTGCATGGGGAAATCAGGATGAAATCTTGGCCTGGAAGCGTTTAGGAGGCGGGTTTTGGGGTGTGAGGCAAAGTGGTGCATAGAGGAGAGAAGCAGAGGACCGCAGGTTGGCTTGGCTGACAGGCACTTGCTAAGCACAGCGGGAGAAATTCTCCTGCCTTTAGGCTTGGTGACCAGCCGACACCTCCACCTGCCTCTGGCCACCCTTCCTACCCTTCGGAAAGGCTGCAGGGTGCTGGCTGGGCTTCGTTATCGGGCCCTGCTCTGCCTGCACTCAGCCCTTGGAAGGGATTAATCATCCCGCTGGTACGCCAGGCTGCTATCGGTCCTGAGGGAGGCTGAGGAGATAGCCTGGGAGGTGTCCAAAATCATATCCACGGTGGCTCGTGGTGGCTTTTCCTCCTGATGCTGACACTTGGCATGAGAGACCTCAACCCCTGCAGGGGAAAGGAGAGGCCTCTGGAGGGGAGGAGCGATGCCAGCAGCCATCCTGGCCTTGCTTCTCCCTGCCTTTGGCAGGCAGGGGCGTGGGAGGCGGGCTGGCCTTGCGGATGACAGTGCTCTTCAGGAATCTCCTGCTGCACAGCTTGACACCGTTGCTGGGTCCTTGGGAAGCCGGGACAGGCTCCTGGCAGTGCGTTTGGGCAGTGCCCTTTCTGTCGAGAGCGGGCCGTGTGCCAGTCCAATACGAAAAGCAGAAATGATGCCATCAGTGGCACCCACAATAGCACCCGACCCAAAATAGCTTCCTAGAAAAAAAAAAAGAGAGAGGCTGATTAGGTTAGACAAGCCTGAAAGAGAGCAAGATGTCCAGCTGACGATTAACAGGTGTAGGTCTGTGAGGAGGGACTATAAATCCCGCGGGTGAGCTCTCCAGCCACCCTTTTGGGGAAAGGCAACCACTGCAGGCAGCGCTCGGGACCCGTCCGCCCCCATCTTCCCCTGCCTCCGGTGAACCATGGGGCTCAGCGACCAGGAATGGCAGCAGGTCCTCACCATCTGGGGGAAAGTGGAGGCCGACCTCGCCGGCCACGGGCATGCAGTTTTGATGAGGTAGGCAAGAAGCGTTGGTCCTAAGAGCAAAGCTGAGAGACTGAGGAACGCTGCGTACGGGGACTCGTGTTCAGCACTGTGCGTTTCAGCAGGCTGATTTCTCTTCGTGTAGGGTGGTGGCGTTCCACGGCTATGGTTTCTGGCTAAAAAAAATTATGGCTCACTGTGTGAAGGGGCTGAGATTTTGTCTTTCTACCTGTGAGGGAAGGAGGAGGCCTGCACTGCTTTTGAAGGATGGAGGCACTTTGTTGCTCCCTCTACCTGACCCGCAGGCGAAGCTCTGCCTTGGATGCTCACTGCCCAGGCACTGATGTGTGAAATGCTGGAGCAAACTGTGTGCCCTGGGCCTTCGGGTGCTCTGCAGCAAGGGCGTGGGGAGGAAGGGATGGAGAGGGGAAGAAAATCAGCTCTGGCAGTTCTCTTGAAATCTCTGATTTTGGTAAAATTGAGTATAAATTACCTGTTTCCCTCCCTCTACCCTGATGTCACCCCATCCTGCTTTTTGGCCAGACCCCCCAGAAATCCAGGCAGTAAAACTTGTCCACTCCCTGCTGATGAATTTGGGGTCTGGGTGTCAAATGAGGCACATCCCTGTTCTTCCAAGGTCAGAGAAGGCATTCTCGTGAGGTCCCCATATGAGAGGACCCCCGTCCCTACACTGTCCTTGCACTCCTGCCCCCCAAGAGAGGAACACCCCGGGAAACAGAAGCAAATCACAGAAATGCAGCCTGCAGGGGGTCTCAGGGCTGTGGAGGGGGAAACAGCATCGTATCCTACCCTGTCCCTAAAGACCAGAAGGGATGGAGATGTCAAGGAGACCCTCTCCAGATGTCCCCTCAGCTTGTGCTCAGCACTGTATGCTAGGAGGGTATGGACGCTGTGGACAGCAGTGGGGATGTGGCTCTCACATGGGGGGGTTTCCCATCTCAAGCACAGCTAAAGGGAGGACCCCACACTGATGGTCAAATCCACAGTCCATTCAAAACTTTTCCAAAGGTGAGCCAAACCAGAGGGGTGTTTTATTTATTCTGACCAGTTCGGCTGATGTGATCCAGAGCAGGTATACTGGGGTGCTGGGCAGCAGAAGGCTGAGCCCTCCCCACCTGACCACCTCTGTGAGGTGGCTCTGAAAGTGCCACGAGACAACAAAAGCAGTTCCCAAACTGCACAGGTAATGCTGCTTTTCCTCCAGGTACCGAAGGCTGAGCATTTGCATTAAATGCCAATCCATGGCATTAAAGGTGATACCCCCCTCCCGTGTGACGTGTGACTCGGTGCTCATCGGCACACATGCAGGTCATTTCTTGCTCCTTCAAGGGGTTTCTGAAGGAGGGGAGAGACAGGGGAAGCCCAGGTGTCTCTCAGTTTAGAAATGTGCCTGCTTTTGCCTTGTTAAAGGCTTCTTAGGTAGATGACATATCCTGGAATATGTTTAGGAAAATACCGATCCAAGTGGATGTTTTCCAAAGGAAACAAACAAACAAAATATTCCTCGGAAGAATATTCAAAGGTCTCAGGAGTATCTTGCCCTTGGCGTGATTCAGCCCTAGCCAGACACGATGGAGGGAGGTTTTTGGAAATAACTCCATCCCATTGCATAGGGCAACCTCATCTCCCTGGGTGAGAGACAACCCTTGTCATAGAAAGATACAGGGAAAAAAAAAAAAAAAGAGAGAAGGCGTGCATCGTGCTCAGCACTTGGTAGAGTACAGAAGTCCTTTGGAAATGTTTGGAGGGAAATGTTGGCAAAGACCGATCACTCATTTATAGAAGCTTTTTGCAGCAGGACAGCTTCTGTTTTCCATGTGGCTGAGGTATTTGTTAATGTAGCCTAACCTATGCTTACATGAGATGTCAGAGAGCCTGGCCCTCACCCAAATGGCCACTTAACAGGAGGCATGTTTAGTTCCAGAGGGGACCAATCCCTAGGAAATCACAGGACCAGCACCTTCCCAAGGGCAGAGCAAGTGAGTAACCACTGTCCTGCAAAAGGAGGCTGGTTTGGTGGCTGCAAGCCCTGGGCCAAGGGTCCAGACCCTGCAGCGGGCAGCCTGAGTGAGCCACCTCATGGATGCGAGCCACTGCCCTTCTGCTGCTTCAGCTGCTTGGGTTATGCCCATCAGAGCGCAAAATACCTGAAAATAAACCTGTGCAGGGGAGCCGGTGTCTCTCAACACCTCATTATTAGACAGCTCCTAATAACCAGGACAGCCAGCGTCCCCCTTTCACCCTGGCTCTAGGACTCTGGCAGGGAAAAGAATGAAATTTCCTACCAGTTTGGTTGCCAGTGGTGTCAGCATCCTGTCTCCCAGGAAATGCGGCAGGGAGGAAATGGGGGACAGCACTAGCCTGGCTTTTAGCCACCCGTCTGCCTTCCTGATTTCATTTCCATTTTGGGATCAGCGCGCCTATGTATAGCACGGAGTGGCAGGGCACCGCCGAGTGCCTGATGCCCCGTGCTCTTCTTACCCACTTGCTCCCGAGGACTCTCAGGGGTGCCGTGCTTCCAGGTGGAGCAGCCACACTGCCAGCTCCAGGCTGGGCTGGGGCATGAGGGAAAAGGGCAGAAACTCAAACCCTCTGTCTGTGTTCACAGGGTGGGGGCACTGTAAGGTCTCCCACTGAGCTGATGTTCAAGCACACCTGAGCCTGAAGGTGAGGGACGTGAGGCTGGGGCCTCTTTCCTGGTCATTGCAGAGATGGGCTCAGGTCTACAGTACCTCGCAGGGAGACAGGATGGGGGAAATACAGGCTAGCTCCGAGAGAGTGAGCCAGGGTGGACAGGTATTTTTGTTTGGTTTTGTTTTGCCTTCAGGTGAATGCAAGAACACAGCTCTCAGTGCCACGACCAGCCTTGGCTCTTGTGTCTGTCCTAGGACAGTTGGCATACCCCAGGGACTGGTGCAAAGGGTTAGCACAGCTATAAAAATAATAAAATAAAATAAAATAAAATAAAATAAAATAAAATAAAATAAAATAAAATAAAATAAAATAAAATAAAATAAAATAAAATAAAATAAAATAATAAAATAAAATAAAATAAAATAAAAATAATTTTTAAAAGGATATTTTTTTTGATGCCAGTTGGACTTGGTTAGGGTAGTGTCTCTGTCTCAGCCAGAAGGAATGGAAAAGAGATGGGTTGATCACCTTAGGACATGTGTAAAAGGATGGGATTAAAGTAGATCCAATATTCAAAGGGAGGTACATCAGCAGCTTCTGCCCTCCAAAGACAAGAGGCATTTTATCATTTGCTAATGATAAAAATCAGCCTGGACAAAAGAGGTGGTAAAAGAAGCTTCTGCACACAGAGTGTCATCTGGCTGTGGAGCAACCCACCAGAGGAAGAACAACCTACACAGATTTAGAATAGGGTCAGCTGCTTTCCTGGCTTTCCATACACGCTAAATGGAGCGACTGTGAGTGGTGACAATTTGGAAAGGGTCTTAATTCACCTGGCATGCTTTCACCTGGCATCATAATTGCCAGGTGAAAGCAGCCGCTTCCAGCAGGGACTAGCCAAGAGCTTTCTCTGTGGAGGGAAGCAGTTTCTCATACATTTTCCTGTCCATATACACCTGGAGTGGCTGGACCTCAGCTCTGTTCTGGATGACAGCTCTGTCAAGCCTCACAAGTCCCTCTGCTTCTGTCCACAGGCTCTTTCAGGACCATCCTGAGACCTTGGATCGCTTTGAAAAGTTCAAAGGCCTGAAGACCCCTGATCAGATGAAGGGCTCCGAAGATCTGAAGAAGCACGGAGTTACCGTCCTCACCCAGCTGGGCAAAATCCTGAAGCAGAAGGGTAATCATGAAGCAGAGTTGAAGCCCCTGGCTCAAACCCATGCCACAAAGCACAAAATCCCAGTCAAATATCTGGAGGTATGGAAAAGGGCAGGGAATCTTGGTGTCTGATGTGTAATGAATGTGTGCAGGACAGCTGTGTCCTGCGCTTTTAGTTAGTGATGTCTAGTTGGACCTCAGTTAACTCTCAAGTCCAAGGCCTCTGTGTACAGACAAGAAGAGGCACAGAAAGGGCTCAGCTCATGGTATGTGAATCTCCAAGTTTAGATTTCCCATTCCAAATGCCATATGCAGTCTGAGACACTCTTGACAATAATAAACCAGCCCCTGCATGCCTGGGAAACTACACGACATAAGAACTGCCAGCGGCTGGACACGAGGGATGTACAATTTTAGAGTAAGCCCTGGAGAATCCACTGGAGACCAAGCCCCACAGAACTAAGTGTTGCACAAACACAGGCATGAATTTGGGCCTCAATGGACAAGGCAGGGAAAGAGTGGGAAGGGCCATGGTGTACTCAAGGTTACAGAGCAGATCAGTGTCCGAGCTAGGAACAGAGCCCAGTTCTTCTGCCCAGCCCAGGCTCCTTGCATGCTAGACCACAGTGTCTCTCCAGAGACTGCGGGAAGGGCTACTGAATTAGCTCGGAGATATTTCCAGGCTCTGCAACCTATTTCTTAGTCTGGATTTTCTGAAAATAAACCCTGAGCGTCCCTTCTGTTTTTGTTTTTTTTTTTTCTTTCTTTCTCTCTCTCTCTCCTTCCTCACAGTTCATTTCTGAAGTCATTATCAAGGTCATTGCTGAAAAGCACTCTGCAGACTTTGGGGCTGATTCCCAGGCTGCGATGAAGAAGGCCCTGGAGCTGTTCCGAAATGACATGGCCAGCAAGTACAAGGAGTTCGGTTTCCAGGGTTAGCATATCCGCACAGAGGGACACCACGACGGAGGCCTGGCCGTGCATCTTAGAGAAGCTTCCCCAGCACTGTTTTGGACATCTCACGATCGACCATCCAAGACGTGTGGGAACGCTTTGACAAGAGGCCGAGAGTCACCACAGGCAGAGCAGAGGCACTCAGAGTGATGTCCATGATAAACCATTGTCCTTTCCTGGCTTCACGTATACAAGAGAAATAATCTGTTTTCTTAGGAAATATAATATAAGGGGTTATCTGTCAGCTTCTGCCTATCCCTATGCCCTTTTTCTTCCCCCCTCCCCCAAACCCAGTCTCATCTGAGAGGAGAATGTCATGGCAGGACACGAAGGGATGTGGAGGAACAAGGGGTGTGTTGAGGAGTGCAGTGAACAGGAGGGTGAAGGAATGACTCAAGTGGTGCAAAAGGGATGTCAGGGTGGGACGTGGGGACACCACATCCCTTTCCTCCCCCAGGTGAGACTGTTAGCAGGTTATGGTGGAGAGCTTTCCGCGCCGTCACTGGTGTTAGCTTGTTTCGTGGGGGTGAGAGCATGTCAGTCTCTGGGGTCTGCCAGCTTGGCAACTCGCTGAACTCACATTAGCAAAACTATAACGAGTAGTACACCCTGTGAGCCGTAGGTTTCTGGCAGCTGCCGCTATGCATGTGAGGCTGTGTTGCACTGGGAAGTGAAGTATGCGTTTCTCAGAAAATAAAAAATTCCCGCACTGGTGTCCTGTGTTCGCTCCTTGCTCCGTAGGAGCCCCAGCGAGAATTGGGGAGATGGAGGAAGAGGAGGAGGTGTTTTGTGTACGCACACGGCCGCCAGCGGGCGGATACACGTGTGTCACCACGGGGTCACGACCTGGTTCCTGGACTTCAGGGTGCCAAAACAGCATCCTCATTCTGCACGAGAAGCGTTCCCTGACTCGAGGCTGTGGCCGCTGCTGAGCGGAGGGGACGTGGAGGGGATGGCCCCTGGCCAGCTGTGTGCTCTGCCTTTTTTCTGTGTGCAGCAGGGAGCGGGTTGCTGCGCCCTGCTCCTTACGGGGGGGGGTTGCACAATGCAAGCAGCCTCAGGTCCCAGCCACGGCACTGTGCGCTGCTCTCTGCAGGAGATAAGAAGCAATAGGGTTGCTTAGCCTGGGGGTGAAGCTTGCAGAAGCAGTGGGTGCCCTTAAGATCCAAGCTTGGGTCTCTGTACTGTTATGGGATGCTGCAGAGGCGAGCAGCTGGGTCCTGGCTAGGGGAAATGCATGGGGTTGACACCGCTGCTCTTCTCTGCTGTGGAGATAATGTGGTTTATCTCACAGAGACAGCGTGAGGGCAAGCATGAGAAAGAAAAATGAGGTGCTCCAAACGAGGAGCTACCAGCAGGGTCTGGTTCAAAGCATTCCCCGCTGGTCTGCGTGCATTGGAGGCAGAGCAGGAGCCGCCAGCTCCCTGAAAAATCAATCCTGAACCAGCGTGATCCGCTGGGTCTTTGGTCAGGGCAAAGGCCACAAAATTTCAGTCTCTGAAAGGAGGAGGAACGAATTCCTTCCCAGAACAGAGCATCTCTGATTTCTTGCTCTTTATAAATCCTCACTTTACCTCTGGGAGCTTGCTTGGGGTTTCAACCTTTCCGAGCGGGTCACAAAAGCATACGGTGTCACATAGATGAAGTTACAGCCAGGTGGTCCCTGGCTTAAGCAACTTGCTCCTTCTGACTCCAGTCTAGCCCGTCTGGCTTCGCAGGAAGGGCAACCTATTTAATTAAGGTCTAGGATTGCCTGTCCAACACAATAAGATTTCCTGCCAGTGACAACAGGCTCTGCTTTGGGATTAAAAGCTCTGCTGTGGCAGCTGCCTCTGTCAGTCCGAGCGGGACCATAGTCATCTCCAGATATTTTTATGTAGGGCAGCGTGGAGGAGGAGGGAGGATTTGCACACATGTTGTGCCTAGCTACGGGTTATTTGGTACCCGGAATGTTTGCTGGGCCTTTGGGAGCCCTGACCCTTTGCTCAGTCTGCCTTGCCCACTCTGCCAGCCTGCTAGGGACCATCCCAAAACTTGTGCTGGGGCCTGATGTCTTGTGCCTACGGCCCCGTAAAGATGAACCAGCAAGTTCAGATAACAGTAACCACGGGTCTAAAATCCGTGCAAAGCTGTATGCTGGCTGAACAAGCCCAGCTTATCGCTGGCAGGAGATAAGGTTGGGATGCTTGCAGTGAAATCCAGGCACCTGCACCTTTGCTGCTTGGGGTCCTGAGCGTGCCCTCGGCTGCAGTCCTGGCATCACGCAGAGATATAGGTACGTGTATACAGCCAGTCTGCAAAGCTCCTGCACAGCCCCAGCTTTAGGGGCAGGGGAAGCTTCCTAGGAAAAAGGGTTTGATGGAGATCTTCTGAGTGTCTGTGCTGGAGTCACCCTTTCCAAATGCTACATTCCCAAGGAAATGTAGGATTTCTGCTTCATGTGTGGGACGAAGCCCCTCAGTGGAGATAAACCATATCAGCGTAAGCTCAGAAATTGCCTCCTTTCCAGGAATAGCTTCACAGGAGGAGGACGGGTCCAGGGGCTTTTTTCCCAGCCCCCTCCCCGTTCACACCCCGTGGTGTCACATACACATTCCTGGTCACAGGACGGGCTGCAGATTGTATGGCTGCCAGCCTCCCTGCCCCGGCACGTACACATCCACTGCAGCCAGGTCGGCCTGGTGGCAGTCCTACGCTTTCCATGCACTCCCACCATTTCTTTTATACTAATAACGCTGTTTCTGGTGGTAAACGTGCTACACGCCCACCCCTGGGTTGAAAAACATCCCTGTGGCTTTGCGCTCGACAAGCCATCCTTCTCCCAGTGCGTTTCCATCGCCAGGCACAGCTCCCCGTGGCACCCAGCCAGTGACCTGAGCTATCTCGGGCCGTGGTGTCAGACACCGGAGACACAACAGGGCTTCAGGGAGCAGGACCTCACAAACGGGTCAGCCTGCCCCAAATGGGCTGCAGCAGCACTGTGGCTGTGCTGAGAGTCCAGTGGCAAATTGTGTTAAATATTTAGCACGTTCACATGAAGTTTGTGGCATTCTTCATGCTTGCATCTCCTTGTGGGGCTAATACGAGGAAGGGCCCGGGAAATTTCCAGTCCTGTCATGGTCACGGAACAGATATCTCTGCTTTCTGGGGACTGGCTGGAGCACAGACAGCATCTTAAGGATGTCATGTCTGCGTGGCAGTGTAGCTTAATAAGGAGACTCAAATAGTCACAGCACATGCTTTCAGACCAGGGGTATTTTTGTCACGAGTCCCATTTATTCTACCAGCTAACCAAAACCTGTCCCGTAGGTTATGAAGAACAGAAAGCAGTGGAGGCAGTGTTTCTTTGATGTGGCCTTGCCTGCCTTATAACGTCCTTTTTTCCTGAAGGTGCATGGGATCCGAGCATGTCCTCCTCCTTCCTGGACTCATTGATTTCAGCTTTGCTCAAGGTTGCATTCTTGATCGTTTGGGCTGTGCAGGGCTCAGTGCTCACAGTCTGTGCTGCTTTTTGGACTGAGCACACACACGCACAGACACACACACACATCTCTACACGAGCACCAGGCTCACAACACACATCATCAGCAAAGCTCCTCTGGCCAAATCCTTCAGATGCCTGCGTGCTTGTGCACTGGTTCTTCATTTAAGGGGATGATATATGTTAGCTCCCACCTTGTGCTTAAATGAAATATGGCAGCAAGACCAAGGTTTGCTAAGGTGTGAGCAAGGAAAGTGAGAAGACAGACTGTGCAAGGGCACGGCACCTGGAGAGCACAGGTAAGTAGGGGGGGGCTGTTAAATTTCATGCAGGTGTGCTGGCAAAGTCAGGGAAGCCAGCTGGAACTAAGTAAAAGAGAAGAGAAATCCCCATCAGCCCCTTATATCCAAGAAACTAATAAATGAGCACTAATGAAGACGACAGTCACAACAATGCAACCTCCTCAGCCAGCACACGGCTCCCTCCCTCCCCTGTGCTCAGCGGCACGACAAGTCCATCTCCAGTCCTGTGACTTCTATAAAATCCTTATCCAAATGTCAGGAAAGGTGACCTTGTGGCTTTTTAAAGCGCTATTTTATAGTCACTTGGCTGCACTGTACCGAGGTCCTTTCCCAGCTTGGCTTCCATCCCCCGTAAACAAACAGAGAGGAGAGACAGCCTCCGCCTTACCCCCAGCCCCGCAGAGCCCATCTGGGGGAAGCTGTGGCAGACGGGGGCACCTTGGGGGCTCTCTTGGGCAAGGAAGACCCTGCTCCGGGGCATACCAGCCTGGCTGGAAGCTGGGTGGACAAGGCAATGTGTATTTGGGATGGGAAGGGTATTGGAGTGCCTGTCCTTTCTGCCATGCCCCCAGAAAAGCCCCTCGTGCTGAGACAAGCAGCAGTTCGGTGGCCCTGAGCTGTCTGTAGGGCCACTTGGGTTACGCCTGCCCAAACACAATTGCTGTGAGGTCTGTGGGGCCAGCCTAGGTGCAAAGCTATTCCACTTCATCTCAGGCCCTGGCTCGGGTAAGGGCTGTGGGGCTGGCCTGCTGAATTTGGTGAGAGGAGGCTGTTGCCGGTACCACTGCCCTGCGACCCAGCAGCAGACGTGACCCCGTGTCTAACTACCTAAAGGTATTAAAAATGAGTGCAACATAGACAGCCTTGTCTAGGAATCTGTGAATTTCCCCCAGCTATAGGACTGAGAAGGGGGCTGTGACCACACAGCTGGGCTGTTATTAGTATCCAGGACGGCTTCTTTAAAGCTGATCCTGGCATGTATATCATAGCTGCAGCCTTATGTCTGGAGCACAGCATAAAGAAGATGAAGCCTGTTCCTCTTCTGTAGGGGAAGCTCGGTATGAATGCAGCCTCTGAGTGCCTGATCCTATTTTAGATTCTCCTTACAGCAGGTTCAAATGTTCCAGTGATAGAATAGCTTTGGCTGGAAGAGCTTCTAGATTGCTAGCATTTAATTGTCTGCATCTCCATGCTTAGCTTGTGGACCTCCCGTGGTTTTTCAGCGTGTGTAAGTAATGGTGCTTTAATTCACTGAAGTTTTTCTGTCTTCCCCCAACGTGCCCATCTGTTTCTGTCCTCGAGCCAAATTCCAGCACCCAAACTCTCACCAAAAGGGTGGAAAATTCCTGGAGCTGATACCCTCACTAAGATCTGGCATTGCTCTGCCCAGGGCTTGCATGACAGCAGCCTTGTCCTCTTGACTCTTGGTGAGCTTTGGGGTTATCTGGAGAGATAACTGATAGGGTGTCGAAGCGGGTCTGCCTCTTCTCACTCACCTCTCAGCTGGATACACACATACAGGAATAGTCTGGTGCCCTTTGAGGGATGTAGTGTGTCATGGATTAACTGTGAGTTGGTTGGGGAGAAAGGAGGGAAAAAAAAAAAAAACAAAACACAAACAAACCAGCCGTCCAGTGTCCCTGCAGAATCTGTGGGAGAGCCTGCACCGCGCTAAGGGCTTGTGCCAGGCACGCAAAGGCAAGCTGTGCAGCGACAGAGGCAAAGCAGGCAGCGTGCAGCATGTGCCACTCCTCTCCACGGGCAGACGGGTCTGCGGGGTCTGCGAGGAGGAATGGCAAATGAAACGCAGGTGGGAAGATGGAGGCACAACCCCCTGCCCAGACACCAAAGCCCAAAGGCTGCTTGTGGCTGTCAGTGCCTTAGGAAGAGTAATAGCATCGCTCTGACAACCCCTCTGCTGAAATGGGGTGGAGGGAGTTTCTTCACACGAGCTGGTAATGGTGTGTTTCTGTATGGGAAGAAAGAGGGGCTCACAGTTTTCTCATGGCGCTGGCGCAGGATGCTTTCTCAAAGCCGGCCCATAAATCATGGGGAAGAAACTTCTTGAGCACTTTGTTTTTGCCGTGATAATGGCACGTATTGCTAACCCAGCTAATCCCCCGGCTAATTTCAGCATGTCACGTTTAAGCTTTTGTCCCTGTGTCTTCTGGCATGTTCCCTCTACAGCCGAAATGATCTCTCAGTGCACAAAACCATTCCTTTCCAGTTGAAATCCTCTCTCCCATAATGGAGCTCTTTGTAACAGGCACAAATTGCAAGCTCTTAACAACATGAATGATTAGAAAATAATCTTCAACATATTTCCTCCCATGTTTTTTTTTTTTTCTAGTTCAGCTGTCCTGTATCTTCCTTGTCTGTTTTAGATCAGAAACTTGTTGGCTGTTTGTGAGTGTCATCCGGGACAAACTCTGTTCCGATGTGCAATGCTAATTAAGAACTGTTTGATCCAATTTAAAACTATCACTCTATAAAATGTCCTGCGTGAAAGAACACTCTTCTAACAATATGTCGGTGTTATTTTCTGTACTGACTTCACCCTAGGCTTTAGACAGAGACCCACCTGTGCTTCCCATCTACAGCGCTGTGCAATTATCCCCATTTTACAGAGGGTAAACTGAGGCAGAGCTGGGCACCAGCACATCCCCTATTTCATGCTTTGGTCATTCAGCTGTCCTTTAGGCCAGGCTGCAGACTACAAGGCAGGATGTTGGTGAGCTTCTTGTGTAGGAAGGGACGTGAAGTTGTGCCATGTGCCAGAAAGCAGTCCTTGCTTTGATGTGGTGTCTTTTCAGCAGCTGACAAAGGACATCCTGTATGTAGATGTTCAGCTGAAGCGGTGGTGTGGTGCAAACGCCCAGATAGATTACAGATGCTGTATATAAAGCAAAGCAGTGTAAAGACCTTTGGGCTGAACTTGGAATGAAGTGCTCTGGAGATTAACGCGCTACGGTGCCACTTGGGGCACTGCTAATCTTCTCACTTCCACAGCAAAAGGCCCTGGACCGAGATCATAAAGGAACGAAATATCTGAAACAGGTTACTGGCAGAAATGAGGCCCCTAAATCCAAGTGTATGAACCTTAAATCCTCCCACATAATTCTTTACATGCTTACATTTTCATCAGTAAAAACCCTGTGGGTTTCTGACATTCTGCTTCTGCTATGTCCCGATCTTCGACCAGCTTGGGTGGGGCTAAACCAGTCCCTCAGATCCTCAGATGTGATCTTCCTCTGCCTAATCTAGCAGAATCCACGCATACCTTGCCCACATCTGACCTCCAAAAAAAAGCTTAGAGCACTCTGCCAGCTCTGGTCTTTTCAGAATGAGCTGTGCCTCACAGTCAGTGTTGGAAAGGGCTTGCCTTCAGGAGAGCAGGTTGAATCCCAGCCCAGGGATGCTCAGGCTCTGAGGGAGTTGACTTCGGAGAGGTTTTGTTTGTTTGAGCTATGATTACAGCTTCTCCTCCTACCTTATTGACAGTAACATCTGGATCTACCCGCACTCACAGCTCTCTGTGGATGAGAGCAACAGGAGAAGAGTGTTTGCTTTCCTTACTGCTTTGTTCGGAGCCTTGCTCACAGCTGTGCCTGCCTGGAAGGAAGTCACAGATCTCGTGCACAATGGTCAAGAAACATTTCCTCTCCTAACGTCACCATGCCCACGTTCATTCACACCGTGGCTCAGAACAGAGACAATTTCACTACCAATTCTGCTGGCAGCATGCAGTAGGGAAAAACAGATGGAAGTGGAAGTAGTGCTTTTTTCTTTTCCACCTACAGTGAGCTTGGAGACAGACAAACCTTTTGTCTTGATATTGCAGCCATGCCAGCAGTAAAGGGGTTAATTATGTCTGTGGAAGAAAAAAAGAAAAAGAAAAAAAAAAGAAAAAGGAAAAAAAAAAAAAGTGTGTTAGAGCCTCTCAACGTTAGAAATAGACCAAAACAGAGTAAGCGAGTGCTGCAGAGTACATCATCCTTTCAAGCACTGGAGTTGGTGAGATAAGAGATAATATTTACTTGAGAGTATATATTAAGAGAGAGAGAGAGAGAGCATACATCTCTCGTATCTTGAGGGCAGAGCATCTTAGAAATAAATTTAAAGTATAATCTTTCTTCGGACATTTGATTTTATTCCTGTTGGGAGTGCTTAGCTTACAATTAATTCTGTGTCGAGAGAGTGCGTGTGGGGGTGTTTGTGTGTATGTACAGCACAGAGCCTATAGTTAGCACACGGAACTAAATGTTTTGTTCTGCAGCCCCAAAGGTACACAGCCTCTCAGCATTCATTAATTTCAGTGGGTGTGAGACCTTTCAGAGAGCAGGATGCTAACAGCAAATTCTTTGCCACAGGCTTGGGACCACTCATTTCATTCTGCTCATGATGCAGGAGGAAGTTGGAAACCGGCTCTGCATTTATTCATCAGCTGCAGTATGAACCCCTTTTATTGCTGCCTTTTGTGGCGATAGCTGCGATCTATTTAAAGGGCTAAGCCTTCACACTGCAGTCCCCTGCAGCAGATGTAGTAGAAGCAGATACCCACGGAGGGGAGGCAAAATGAACTCGTCCTGCTGCTCAAAGGCCAGCCTTCATCGCAATCACTGACAGATACCCAGCTCCTGGCACTTGAAGACGGGGTTTGGTTCCTTCTTCAGTGGTTTGGGGCTTGGAGGGAGGGAGGGAAGGTCTCTTGGGGAACTTATGCTGCAATTTATATTCCCTGCTTCATATTCATCCGCTCTTTCATTTCTTCCCCTTAGAGGGCATCCAAGGAGAAGGAGACGCTTCTGGTCTTGTGACCTATCTCTGCATCCTCGGAGACATCATGGCTAAATCCACGTGGCATGACTGCCAGCCTCAGCCTGAAGTTAACACCAGCAAACTCATTCTCAGCTCAGCAGTTGGTCCTTAAACACGAACTTTAAAGCTGCACGGGTGGGTAAATACTGCAGGAAACCAAGGGCCTCAGACAGATCCTTTTATAGGAGAAACTGCTGAGACGTTTCATTGTTGTTTTTTTTTTCTTTACCAACCATTCTGTTAACTTTGGTCCTCTGCACTAGACTGATCGGTGTCAGAGCTGGCCAAGTGCAGGGTTTCTCTGCTTGGACAATAGCCTGGCAGAATACCATGGAGAGCTATTAAGAACTTTGGATAGTAAAGGCTTGGCTACGAATTCCTGTTTAAACCAAGGCTCATGTTCATCAGAATTGTTGCCTGCTAAGCTTTTCTCATTGGGGTGGGAATGGAGCAAAGGGAGGAAAGAGCAAAAGTGGCACTAGGTATGTGCTCTGTGAAGGCACAGTGGTGTCCTCAGTGGTTTGTCCTTACCGTGTCTCCTCTCCCCACTGTCTTGTCGCTCTGCTTTTCTACTTTGCCCACCTTACCAGGGCCTGCATGAATGAACTGATCTCACTCTCAAACAGGAAACAAGAAATAAAGAATTACAGCACCATACACACTACTATAAAGCATCACCGCATCACGACTGCAGTCTTGTTCCTGTAGACCGCATAGCGCCATGGCTGTTACAAAAACAAACAAAATTTATGCTCCCTAAGAAAAGGTTCTTGAAAGGCACATCCACCCCATGAAGACCTTTTTACATTTTCAAAGGGAAAAAAAAAATGTGGCTGAGAATCAACTATTTAAGCCCATAGCAACAGCAGGGTATTTTTGTTTGGAGAGGTGTAGGCGACAGGGAAGAAGCATAGCTATTTTCCTCCCAGGGTATATTCTGTATCTGGGTTTTGCTAGTCCAAAGTGACTTCTGCAGTCTTTTACCAAGCTTTATCAGGCTAATGCCTGGAGATATGAGCTCCTGTTAGCATGATGCAACCAGACTGAAGTGCCACCCCAGGCCAGCTTTCCCCTTGCAGCCACATTGTTGGATATGATGCCCACCGTGGTGGTAGAGGACCATGCAGTTGCCAAACAACAGGTTAATATTGTGGTGTGCTCATAGGGGTGGCTGAGGTCATGCAATGCCCAGTGTTACTCCACTTCTTGAGTTGCAGACTGTTGTCTCCTAAGAAAATTCCTTTTTACTGAGTAATTAATACAAAGCCTCAGTGCAGCCTAAACTAGTTGTCATGGCATCACTTGTTTGTTGTTGTGTTTTTTATTTTTGTTTGTTTTTGTTTCCCCCTTCCCCCCCCCAGAATATATCTGAATAATTGGGATTTGGTCTATGACAGAGACAGGAATGGGAAACATATTTGCCCACCCAAGCTTCAGAGAAAGCTTATGAATGATGTACCAAATATTAGTCAAGTAGCAGTTTGAGTCACACCTGGCACCACGGCACAGCTGACTCAAGAAGCAGTCCTCTGGGACACTACGCAAGGATAAATGAAAATAGAGAGAAACTCTGGCAGTGAAATCTCCTTTCTTCTCTTTGTTTCTTTGGGATGTTGTCCGCTGCATTACTGGAGGAGATACTGCTTGGTCTAAGTACAAGAGACCTCTTGCTCCCAACCCCCAAAGTAAATCCCAAAGTCATTTTCAAACCAAGACAGCTATCAAGATGGGACTTGTGGTTCATATTCTTTCTCCCACTGTTACTGTCCAACGTCCCGAGACAGCTGCTAGCCCAAAATCATCAAACCAGAACTTACACTGGAATAAGAAGTGGGGTGACGGGGAGGAAGTTCGGATCTTCCATTTCACCCTGCTCCTTGACCACAGACATAGCAGAGGGCTATGCAGGTCTGCGTTCAGATGACTGGCTGAATAATTTCATTATACAGCATCTTCCCTAGCCTCCCACAAGGCGTCATTTGTCTGTCAAGGAAGGAAACATCATCCCTCCTCAATGAAGGGCCTTCGATTTGCTTGAAGAACTGCTTTTATTATATACAATTAGTGGAGGGCTGACAGTGTGTTTGGACAAGGTACAAGACACAAAGGATAAACAGTCCCTGCTCCACAGAGACCAAGACAACTTTGTTGAGCCAGCTTGTTCTTGCCAGTGAGGCCTGCACCATGACCTTTTCCCAGTGAGGTAAGAGCAATCCGCTAGTAATGTTCCAGGGGCTTCACTCCACATGAACGAGAAAAAAGGTAAAATTAAATGTGATGAGCATGACTGTCATTCCATAAGCTATCCTTCTGCTTTCTGCTGGGCATTCACTTTTGCATGGACAAAACTGAAATGGTTTCCACCATTTCTCTTGTAGGTGTAATGTGCTCCAGGAAAGGCCATTCGCTTCAGCAACAGACAGGCTTTGGCTCATTTGCTTCCAAATGCTATCTATGTCCTGTTGCTCAAGGTAATGTGGCTCTATTTCATTACATTACCACATATACTCGTCATTGCTTTAAACTGTACAGAAGCAACACCATTCAGACACAAAATACACTCAAATGGATCTGCCTGTCCTTCATACAACTCCTTTGAGTGGTCATAAAAGACAACAGTAGCTGTAGGTATAGGCACCATAACACAAAGGACTTCAAAGACTGATGCAGCTAGGTAGAAGGTGTCAGAAGAGGCAGCCTGAAGTGGTTAGAAGAAGCAGCCAGAGAGGGGAGGTGAAGAATGCAATAACACTGAATTCAGTAATTCAGTTGCTGATTTAAAAAAAGAAAAAAAAAGAAAAAGAAAAAAAAAAGCATAGCACATTGGACATTAGTTTATTAAGGGCTCAACTCAATGTTTGTAGAGGAAAATTCTTTAGCCACACTGTACTCAAGGACAGACAAGATGACCTCAGACTTTACAGATGATCTCTACTGCTTTCTAAAGAAAGCAAAACAAAACAAAACAACAACCTGTTTGTTCTAGTTTAAGACACGAAGTGCCACTATGGCACTTACAGTGACTGTCATTTAAGTTATCCTAAAGGGGACAAAGGACTGGATGTAGACAAAGCAGGGTATGCGGAGCAGCTCCTTATGTTTTCAAAACATGAAAATGTGATTATGAGATGTGAGATATAGGAAAAGAAACATGTCCAAAGAGATGTGATATACTAAGACATGAGGTTCATACCTAGCTACGCCAGAAGGTGCATGTATGGCCACTGTGCAGCACAGAGCACAAGTTTGTATAAAAGATCCTACCAAGACTTGTCCAGGATACATTTGCACTGATGCAAACCCAGACTTGGATGTTGCTTTGATAGCAAGCTGCTTTCCAGAGCAAGGTAGTATTTTCTTCGATAGAAACAGCAGCACAACCTGAGGAACAGATAGACAGGTTCTCCCACGTGCCTGGTGACAGGACGAGGGGGAACGGGCTAAAGTTGCGCCAGGGGAGTTTTAGGTTAGATGTTAGGAAGAGCTTCTTTACTGAAAGGGTTGTGAGGCATTCGAACGGGCTGCCCAGGGAGGTGGTGGAGTCACCATCCCTGGAAGTCTTCAAAAGACGTTTAGATGTAGAGCTTAGGGATATGGTTTAGTGGGGACTGTTAGCGTTAGGTTAGAGGTTGGACTCGATGATCTTGAGGTCTCTTCCAACCTAGAAATTCTGTGATTCTGTGATTCTGTGAAATTTGCCTTTCCTTAAGAATTTGAAACAAACGAGGAGGGAGAAGGACGAGACGGCCCGAGGTGGGGAGGCGCCGCAAGATGGCGTCCTGCCGCCTCGCCGCCCGCCACAGCCGCCGAGGGGGGAGCTATGGCGGCCTCGGGTGGTCTTGCAGCGGGACCGGGCGGGACCTCGACCTGTCACCACATTTTTATTTTTTATTTTTATCTTTTTTTCGAGAGGCAGACTGTGAGAGATGGCATCTGAGCTGCCACGCCGTTACTCGGCTTGGTGAAGCTGCACTGAACCTCCTGTCCTGCCACACGCTTGCCCTGTGGCTGGGTCTCCTCCTTGTTTCTGCAGCAGTGGTGATGCTTCTGAGCGGCATAAAGCTGCCTTGACTGTGTGATGTCCTGTAGTGAAATAACGTCACGTTTCCTTGTGCAACAGGGCATGGTGTTTGGGAGAAAATGAGCTAAAGTCCCTGCCCCTCTCACCCCAGTCAGCTGCAGCTGCCTAAATGTGGCACGTCCTGCTCGAGGGCTAGGAAGGATGGGGATAATCACTTCAGCACCCACTGCAGAATGATAACATTGAAGTATTTGGGATGGACAAGCCCAGAAGAACGATGTGACACCCAAACACCCCAGCCATCCAGACCTGCCCAGCACGCATCTGCTCCCAGCACTTTTCCCTTCCTCTCTCCATGCATCATGCTGCCTTTACAACCTCTAAGTAATGCTTATGTATGAGGTATATGGGTATCTCTGCTGGGAAAAAAGATCTGCTTTGCAAACTCAGCTTTTTTTTTTTTTCCTCATTAGAAGTCATTTAAATTTGATGCAGGGACTGTACTTTCTAAGTGGTATAAATTACATCATTGCACTATCTCCTCCTATCTTATAATTCTTGCTTATCTCATCTTAAAACTTTTGGCTTATCTTTAGCATCCTTAACAGCACTGGAAAGCTTGCAGGGCCTGCTTTTGAGGTTTTTTGAACCTCTGCAGGTTTCCTTAAAAATAGGTCTTACGTCCACTGAATTACAATAGCACAAAAGGCTTTTGGGCAAAATACAGAGTAGAAAAAATAAATAAATAAAATAAAGGTAGCTTTTCTGCTACTAAAAGCAACAAAACCAAATAGTGGAGACTGCTCTTTCTAAGTAGAGGCTTTGGTGCATAGGAGTTTACTAATTCAGTTAAGAATAAAACAATTGACTGACAGAAAAAGTCAATAAAAAAAAACAACAAACAACACTTTATAAACTGCAGGAGACAAAAAGATTTTGGAAACATATTTTCCCTTAATTGGACATCTATTTCTGCATGGAGTCATTTGTGTACAGCATCCAGCCATATGGCTTTTGTTTGACAGTGAAATGATCAGTTCCTCAAAGTGTGAATCTCACGTGGGAGAGCCTCATCACAGCTTTGAAAAGGACTCCTGCCCTAGCAAGGCTTTGTCAGCAATTTCAGAGCGTGAAGATGTAATCTCTGTTGTAATGCTTAATTCTGTGTCATCAGATAATAGCCTTTTAATGGTAGCAGAGGTTTTGTGGGTTGTAGTGAGAGCCCCAAGGAGGGGGGGACTCCCACGTGTCAGGTGCTGTGAAGGGATCTATAGCACGGGATCTGTTGCTTTTACAGGTGTTACAGGAAAGGCAAGTTGAGGTGGATCTGCGTACAGGCATAACAGAGCTGCCTTGAGCAGTGGTCTGATGAAGAGATGTCAGGCAACACCACCTCTGCTGCTGACTGTGGGGGTGAGGCTGGCTGAGTCTCCCACAAAATTTGAAGTGGGGGATGATGACTAATGGTAGGAAGAGGAGCTCCTGCCTTACTGCCTTTTTCTTTTCTTTTCTTTTCTTTTCTTTTCTTTTCTTTTCTTTTCTTTTCTTTTCTTTTCTTTTCTTTTCTTTTCTTTTCTTTTCTTTTCTTTTTTTCTTTTCTTTTCTTTTCTTTTCTTTTCTTTTTCTTTTCTTTTCTTTTCTTTTCTTTTCTCTTTTCTCTTTCTTCTTTTCTCTTTTCTCTTTTCTTTTCTTCTCTTTTCTTCTCTTTTCTTTTCTCTTTTCTTTTTCCTTTTTCCTTTTTTTTTCTTTTTTCTTTTTTCTTTTTTCTTCTTTTCCCCTGACTGACTGCAGGAACATCTGCCCCAACCCTTAAGAGCTCTCTCTCCCCACCTTCCTTCTCATTTCACAACGTCTCTCCTTAACTCTTCCCTTTCCACAGTAAGATTGACCATGTCCAGGTAACCCATGCCACAGATGGCAAAGCTCAGGAGGCTGAAATAGTGACAGGGATCTTTTAAAAGCCCAGTCCAACACAATCATAGGGTTGTCAACATGAAACATAACACCTGTTGTCTAATATCTAGGTATCTTTTGGGACTGGTGCTTGGGATCCCCTGTACGCTTTTGTAAGCATTCCTAAGCCTTTCAGTGACTATCTCAGCAGTATTAATAGCCTAGTTTTGCAGAAGATGGAACTCATACCATACTATTGATCTCTGTCCTATTGCAGACAGGACGTTCCCCCACTTGATGCAAAAGTCCTGTCTCCAGTGCACTGAATAACCACCAAGCAACACAGATGTTTCTGTAACACCGTAGCCTGAGACATAAAATGCTGTTTTTTGTCTTCAACCAGGTTTCATTTGGGACTTCCCACAGCTCACCTTCCAACTCTACAATAACTAAATAAGCCCTCTCACAAGACAGTGACCAGAGCTCCAATTCCCAGGCATACTCAAGTTTTGGAGAGATTCTAGTCCAGATCTTTACAGCTCAGCACCATTTCCAGCCATGGGATGTTACCTCTTCTTAGACCAACTTTTAGCAAAACCTTCTTGCATTGAGCTTCCGAGATGTTGGCTGTCAACATGCAGACATGAAAATCAGCCTCCCCCCTCCCTCCTCCTTCCTTCCCTGCCTCACTGTCCTACTGCAGAGTCTCTTGGGCTCCTGCCACATGGAGCTAATCCCATAAAGACAATCAAGCTCTCTCTGCCAGACTGATATTGATCACCTCCCTTCACGTGGACCCCCCACAAGTAACATAATTTTCCAGTATATATCCCCACCCCTGATCCTGAACCATTTCATTGCCAAGACATCACACAGCGCTCCTAAAGTCATCCTATATTCTCTCTTTCCCTTTAGTAAATTAGACCCTTTCTTTTTTACAAGCAATATAAGCAGCTATGAGTATAAGATGTTTCCCTCTCCTCCCCCCACCTCCACCTACATGGCACGAAATCTCAGGCTGTATTTCGCAGACTCGATTTGAAGTAAGTTTCTTACTGCTGGCAGAATCTGCCTCCGCGCCCTTCCTGCTCATTCGGTGAGTGACACTAATCAGCAGTGTGGGAGGTAGGGACAATATCAAGCATCGAAGGGGATTGACAAGCCTCACTCAGAATTTACACGTACCCCAATAGGTATGTGAGGGTGAAATAAAGTGGTTCTATCAATCTCTTTGTATCACTGCCTATTGCTGGCTGCAGCTCTTCGTTGAAATTAGTGGTTCACTGAGCGGAGAGGAATAAACAAGGAAAAATTTTCCCCCAAAGCCCTATTTGGTGAGGGTTTTAGTTGTGTCAGCCTCCCTCCCCAAGCAAATGCCTCCAAATTATTAACAATATGTAATCGACATGAAATATCAGGCCCTGCTGGGCAGGGAAAGATACTTTGAATTATCTCAGCAGGAGGGTTGGCACTAATTTATTGCTGTTGTGCTTCAAGTACTTCTGATGCAAAAGATGAATGGAGCTGAAAGTTTGTAACTTGACTTGTTCAACTACATTTAGTCGTCTTGTGTAGCATCAGCAGGGTAATGTGAATTGGCATGAGACCCTTGAAGCAGCCTAGTCCTTCACTCCTTGTTTTCTTTTTAAGCATTCTTCCTTCCCTCCTCCTTACCACTTCTTTTCCCAGTCAAGAGACCTAGATGTAGAAATGTACTTGCTGTTTCTCCGCAGTCCCTTCCAAAAGGATGAGTTTCATGCCTATTCTAGGTTTTTTGTTTTGTTTTGTTTTTCCTGTGAATTTGTCAGTGGACCATTTTGTAAAGAGAGGTAGAGCTGAAGAAAGCATCCACAGCTCTGTTGAAGAGACGAGAAGGATGATGATGTTTCACATGATGGGCAGATTACAGCAGAGGTATTTACAGACTTGCTCTTTCTCTGGCAGTGAAACCAACTGGAATGGAAAGGTCTGCAGACACTCTGTTAAACCTCATTACCCTCCAGAAGTGGGTGGCTTCCTGCAAGCTCCTTATTAAGAATTGTTCCTTGCCTGGGCTAAACTCCAGATGGCTTGAGGGAATTGTCTGGGGGAACCCTCTTGTTGTGGGCCAAAACTGTGACAGTGAATTTACAGTTTAACAGAATGGGTGATTCAATTCCAGAACCTACGAACCATTTAATTTATTAAAATAGTCATGTCCAAGGTGCCTCTTGCCTTTGAGCGTTTGATTTTGCAAACCTGCTAACAAAATCTCCTCCTCAAACCCCTGCGTTGGGGTGAGAGGTGACAGTGGACCTGGGAAGAAGGAAGATGGAGGCAGTATATGCCCTGCTGGAGGGCAGCAAAAACCATCAGCAGCCAGGAATCTCCCAAACAGTTGGTCCCCATCTGCCATTCTGAGGCTTGTGTTGCTTCACCTCCTTGCAGGAAGACACCCAAGAGACTGCAACTGCCCATGTGGGAACCTCTCCAGCTTTCTTTGTGGCTTCTCTTTCTTAGTCTCCTCCTTTGTGAAGGTGCATTTACTGTTCCTGTGGGGAGGCAGGAGCTGGGAAGCTGTGCTCTCCAGGCTAGGGGGAGAAGTCAAGACATCTAGCTGATGCTGAGACCTGTACTTCAAACAATTAATGTGTCACTTTAACCATTACTCTCTTTATTATTTTTTTTTAATTTATTTTTTTTTTGATCAGATATAAAAGAGCTATTCATTGGAGTGTTAGTTTCCAGTGTCTTTGGTTGACACTCAAAGATCACTACCTCCAGCTTTTTGGGCTTGCATCATATTACATGCTAGTATGGGCTCACCTTGTCAACGCGTTCTTACAGCTAGTTTGGAGGCGCAGGCTTCTGTGATACTTAGCGTGGGCTGTTGCTTTCATGTCAACCCAGCAAGTCATAAGTCACGGGTGCCCAACTACTACTGCTGGCAGGGTGTCAACTCCCAAGTGTCAGGAATAGCAGTACCAGTCAGTCAGTTAAAGGAGACATCTGACATCCTCATCTCTTCTGACACTTTGTTAATCTGGGTTTGCTTCCCCAGGCCTCCTGGTTTCCTCAGGAGTGAGGCTGGGTTGAAACTAAAGGCTTTCTTTTCTTTCTTTTTTTTTCCTATTTCCTCCTGAAAAGAAGCATTGAAGCCTGCAGACGGCCAGAGTCCAAGCTCAGGAGCGCAGCGCTGGAATGCCTCCCCTGGGTCAGGGTGTCCATTTCCTGACTATAGCAGCCTATCATGTCACACAAGCTCTTTCCTAGTGCGTCAGGCTTATCTTTAAAAATAGTCAGGCTCCTTGTCTCTGGCCTCTGGAGCAGAGGCAGAAAATGAAACTTTTAAAACAATCTCAAAGGAACATTTCCTGTCCACAGGACAGACTTCACCCGATGACAGCCCTGTCTTTTCTTGTTTTTGCTTGTTCCTTCAAATATCTCTTCTCTGCCCCTTCCAGGCTGCAGAATATACATGGACTCTATGTGTTTTGGGGGAACCTAGAGACTGACTCCTGCCATCCCTTGGCTTTACCTTGTTTAATATAATCCTCCAGTTCCCCTCTGGCCCTCTTGGCAAGCTTGCAAGCACGTCCCACCACAGAGCAGCGTCTGGCTAAGTGCCCATGTTCAGCTGGAGTCATGTCAAGCCATAGGCCACTTCGACGTCTCCTGTCACAGCAGACATCTGCTGGACGGGTTATCAAACGTCGGGCCTCTGTGAGGTTGCTGGCTTGCTGGCGTGGTATCAAAGAACGGGACTGTGCGAGGTCACTGGATGTCTCCCTCCAGCGAGCCAACGCAGACAGCAGCGTGTCCCTAAAGTCACCTTGCTAGCTTCATAGTGTGGTGCCAACACGCTTTGTTGTCTCTGAGGCTACTGACCCCGAGCTCTGGATTCAGCTGGGCTTTTCTGTAAGCACCCCGGGATCAAGCTGTTTGAATGCGGCGCAATTTATTCAGTGAGCCTTGCATAACAGACCTCACACAGCACCGCAAAGCTTCCACGTTGCTCTCATTTTGACTTCTCGTTTCTGAAAGTGAGGTCATTCTGGCTGGTTGTGCATTTATTTGTGGGATGGGCTGCGGCTCATAACACACATGTTGGACACAGCAAGCATCCCTTGAAGTGTACTACAAATCCCTTTTAGGGTATTCTCACAAGTCTCCTGTCTCTGCAGACCAACACAGTCTGGATGACTGGCACGTGCCTGATGTGGAGATGGGACACAGATAGGAGAAACACCTTGGCATGGAAATTCAGAAAGACTCCTGTAATCTCAATTTACATCTTTACAGTACTGTTTCTAATGCTTTGCCTGTCACCAGTACTTGCATAGGTGAAGGAGGAAAACCAGGGCAAGAAACTCAGTTCAGGCAATCTTTTGTCATTCTGTGTTTAGCTGTCGTGGAGTGAAATGACATTTGATGGCATTGTGAGATGGGACACAATAGGTTGCAGAGAAGAGTGAGAGTGACAATAGGAGTCACTGTGCCCTACTTGTGGAGACAAAAAGTCTTTGTCACCACAGCCATTTTCCTAGAGGTGCCAGAAGGGAATAGGCTCTGGAAACTACGTCCATGCAGCCTCTGGTAGAAGCCTTGAATGAGATCTTGTGCTAAAAGCCATCAAGAAGGCACCAACATGGCACTGCATTTTTGCAGGTTTTGACAACAGTCAGAGGATGGGGGCTGATGTGCAACATGGGGAATATCTGGCAGTATAGACACAACTCAGAAGAGACATTTTTTTTATTTTTATTTTTTGGTTGGCTCTGCGTAAAGGCAAGGAACGGCAAATTTTCATCTGAAGTTTTGGAGGGCTAGAAACAGCAGATACTTTATTTCCCTGTTTGGACTTTCTCTGAAAGGCTGGAGGAGGGCAGAAGACAACAAGACCATTTCTAGAGGAGAATAGCAAGGACTTAGAGCTTGGACAATTTTTGCCACCCAATTAGTAATGCTGTTCTTCCTACTGCCTGGAATTCTTGGAGCCCACCACACACCTTTAGTCAAAAACAAACCAGCTCTTTTATCTGTTCTTGCTTCAAAATTGCCTTTAGCCAGTGAGGGAAAGGCCGAGGATGCAGAGAGGACAGAGCCAGGCTCTTCTTGATGGTGCCCAGTGTCAGGACAAGAGGCAAAGGGCACAAACTTGAACACTTTCTTACTGTGCAGGTGACTGAACACTGGCCCAGGTTGCCCAAAGAGCTTATGAAGTCTCTCTCCCTGGAGATCTTCAAAATTCACCTGAAGATGGTCTGGGGCAGCCTGCTCTGGGTGTCCCTGCTTGAGCAGGGAGGTTGGACCAGGCGGCCTCCAGAGGTCCCTTCTGACCTCAGCCATTCTGTGATTCTGCAATACCATGGGAAAAAAAAAAGCTGCAAAAACATTTCACTATGTGGCAGTACATCACTGGAATACGTTCCTTTTCTCAGTTCTTTTAAGAAACATCAAATTCCTCTTTTTTCTAATGCAAATTAGTGGGAAAGCAGAAGGGCCTCTCAGACAGTTCTTGTTTTACTTAGGAAACCTTCCCAATTCAAGCACCTCTCATGCGAAATTACTTGTCTTTTCAGTTTTCTTTCAGTGGAATTTTGGTTCAGAACAACGCTTCCTCCTGATACATCTCAGACCTTAAATGATCCCTCTTCAGGCAACCAATTTGGACAAAGTTGAGAAAGAGCTTAAGTGAGCCTAAGCTTATCTCATTTTCAACAGTCAATTCAGAGTCTAAAGCCTCATGAAAATTCAGCAAAACTCAAGACTCCTTAATTAATGAGGTGCTTTCATAAATCTTCTTCTTTGGCAGAATTCTTGTCTGACAAGAGAAAATGCAGTGTGGAAGACGTCTCCAGTCCCATGAAGAAGGGATAAAACCGTCCTTAAGGCTGTTCCCACTATTAAGGGTGTTCATTTCTTTTCATCTGCTCACTGCCTAGAACAGGAGAGTGTCCTGCTACAGCAGGGGTCCTCTCCATCAGCATGGCTTTGTATCTTTTGGAAGGGTTTCACCATCCTTTTGAGAGCAAATCTTTCTCCAGCCACCATGCTACAGAGGGAGGAAAGGATGTTTTAGGATACTTAAAAATGTTTTGCCAAAGCCTGTGCCAGAATTATTGCTGTCTTAGATGTGAAGGGCAAGTAAATGCTCTTGTGTGGGCTACAGCAGTAGAAAGTGGCCATCCTTTCCATCCTCTCCATCCTCTCCATGCTTTTTCATTGCTTTCAACTCTAAAACTCACGAGTGGCTAAAAATCTCTCCTGTTTTACAGGCTATAAATCACTTTGTATTTCAGACGTGGGTAGATACCCTGCTCCTAGGAGTATATGATCCATTTATTTCTTCTGAGAGTTATCAGAAGTCCTAGAGTAGCTCACAGGCAGGAGAGAAGCAGATGTTTCGTAAAGCATCACCTGGTCACTAAAGGACAGGGCTGCCCGTAGACCTTTGCCATGACTGCCTCCACCTAAGACATCTCTCCTCACCAGGATGTCAAAGAATCACCTCTTAGTGCAAGAATAATGAAGAATCTTCCCATCCCTTGAACATTTTGGAAACAGTGCTTTTGTGTACATCAGGACTTTCTTTTTGTTGTGTGTTTGTGTGTTGTCTGGCATAATTGGGTCCTGTCCTGTGGGCAGGGCTCCGTAACACCAATAAATACCACCGTGACTAATGACAGACCTTGTGTAACTGCCCCAAACTTGATGAAAGTTGCAAGCAGTCTGAGTCAGTGCCATTGTGTAAGGGGATAATTTCTGCTTTGGCAGTGTTGTGACCAGCTGGAATTGTTCTCTCTGATAATTGCCAATCTGGATTTCTCCCAGATGGCAGCATCTCATAAAGAGTATCTGTGAAGAGCTCTGGTCCGCTCTCTAATAAGGCTCCGCAAGAGAGCTGTTCGTCCCTGTCACCCCTTATCCATTGCCTCAGGCAGGTCTCCTGTCAATTTGCAGAACAAGTCGTTGCTCTGTGTTTATTTTTCCTTTTTATTTTATTTCTTTTTAGAATCTTGTATTTATTACCTTGGCAGCGAGCCACCCGGCAAGGAACAAACTGTTTTGTGGCAGAAAAGATGAGACACTCTGCCCTGGACCAGCCAAAAGCAATGCCACTGATCTTCCCTGTGCTGTCCTCTAACCCCCCAGGCTGTATTTAACAAGGCTGCGTGTCCCTGAGGCACTCATTTCTCCAGCAGCGAGAGGGTGAAAGGGGAGTTTATGCCGTGCATCCCTCCAAGGCTCCCCCAGCCGAAGCATTTCTGCAGCACGCTACTGTTGAGCACACAGGTGGGAAGTGATTGAAGAGCAGGGGGTGGCCAGTGTGTGATTTTAATCCTGAGGCTGCCGGGACTCGCCGGCTCAGTGGATGCTGAGCAGAACAAGACCGTAGGTAGCGCAGAAATCAGGGATTATGCAAAACGTAATTGCTCCCCTGTGTAGCTGGCGCTGCCACGGCTCAGCTCCTGATTGAGGTGATATTTGTTTCCGGTCTGCCTCTTCAGCCTTTAACGTGTTTATCCACCACTGCAGTACCCAAGTGCCTCGCAATCTAGAAGGCGTTTATCCTCTCTCAGCTCTCCCACGAGTGCCGTTGGCCCCGTGTCAGGGATGGG